GATGAGTTCAGCCCTTCTGCCCCTCACAGGCACAAGCTTTCCTAAAGACACAGAAAATGTGCTTTTATTTTTTATAAAGTGCGATGTCACCTTTCTTTTAAAACTGTGAAAGGCCCTCGGAGACACCTACGGCTTTAATGTTCCGTTTGCTCTTGACAGCAGAGCCCGATCCTCTCTGACCTCTGTCCATCTCTGTGTCAGTTACTGAGCCCTGTTGGATCTATTGAAGGGTACAAAAAGCCTGAGGTGACAATGTTATAAATGAGAAAGCATGTCAGAAAAACTTTGGGAATGAGAAACATATGTTTCAGAATGACATAAGGCTCCGATGTGATCATTGCTTATGGTTTATTGCTTAAGATAGAGGTGTGAAAAGGGTCTGTAATTATGTATCAGGTGAATTTTCATACATATTAATAATATCACGGCTGAGCTCTGACCTTGAATGATCGAAAGCCAATTTTGGTAACCCTTTCTTAACAGGAGTCCGGTTGTCTGGGTCATCTGGGTCATCTCAGTTTAAAAGTAAATGAACCTAAAAGCATGTTAAAAACAGGACTGTTCACTGTTCACAGTTAAAACAGGACCATTAGCGTGTGCTGGTGTGCACCGCTCTTTGGCCGTGTCCTTGATCCATAAGAAGGATTGGAGCTTAATAAATAGCCCTGGTTTTATCTCCCATGGCAACCTCCAGCCTCAAGATGACAGCTCTCAAAGGCACCCGTCTTCTTTTTGGGAAATCAATTCCCCTCACATTGCCCTTTTTCATTTTTCAACCGTTGCGGAGGGGAGGAAAGCGACAGAAAGGGCCGCTTAGCTTTTCCCTGTGAATTTAAGGCTGCACGACTTTTTTTTTATACCGAGAACCGAGAGTGGAGTATCTGCTCCTCCAATGATATCCACCCAAAGCCCCGTTGGCTTACGCACTTGAATTCCCTCACTCTTTTCTCTCCCCTCTTTTCTCCCTTTCTTCTCGGCTTTCACCTTGGATTTCCTCTTGTTATCCCTGTGTGCATGTTGGGGCCAATTTGCCCCTCGATGCTGGAAACTTCTTGAATCGTTGCATGTGTGTCTGTGTATTACGCGTGCGCATGTGTGCTTGTGCCTGCATGCCTGCGTGTGGAAAGTCCGCAACGGTTGCCGGCAGCGCAGAGGCCACAGAGTTTACTAGCAGCTCTGACACAATGACAGATGAAGATAAAGAGGCTTCTATTAAAAATGGGAGAGGCCTGTTTTCAGATGGGCCTTTGTGGGCACGTGCAAGATGAAGGGCGCGCAATGGCGAGAGTGGAGGGATGGGCCTTCAGAGGCCGTGGGAGGGCACATAGGCGCGGGGCGGCCCTATGAGAACAGGACAAGACGTTTCGTATTTTTCGCGGAACCAGAAGATCTTTCTTTCTTTTTTTTTTTTCCCACCACAAACACGGGCAGTGAAATGTCATGACAGTGCAGATAGAGGGAGAGAGAGAGACAGATAGTGGAAAAGACTTTGCTGAAAGACGGCCAAGAGTGATAGCGCTCTGAGAAGTAGCTGTGTCGGGCCTTCGGTGGGACCGGCATGTGAACAGACGCCAACATGGCCGCCGCCGCTGAGAAATGGGCTCTCCCATAATCGACTGCTAGGGCAGGAAGTAGGTTCATGGGACTGATTGAGTATTGATTGATCGGTATATGTTAGACAAGCATGTCGCTTTCTCCTACTCAATTGCACACACGAAATGCTCATTTAAATTGCTTATTTAAGGCCCCCCTTATTTACGGGCAATTTTCTTTTTGTTGCAACATGTGCACTTTTATTTTTAATAAATGTTCAAAGTAAACTCCATTCAATTCCAATCAAGCCTCACCTTCCTCTTCCTCCCAGAGACACACTGTGAGAGGGTGAAGCAGATCAGTGTTCAAGATTACATGTCGGAGCTGAACGTGTGCACGCTTGCGCAGCACGTGATCGGGAGGAACTGGCAGGGTTGCCGAATGTCACTTTCTTTAACGAGTTCATCGTTATCAACGACGGAAAAGATGATTTGGATCTTGTTCGTTACGTCTTTCAATAAGCCAGTTCACTTGTATGTGGGGTTACGGCCGTGATCTGAGTAACCTGAATCATGGCTGCAGTGGGAGGGCGCCGTGAACTGGTGTTCAGTGTCTCCTGTCATCACCGGCAATCTGTTTCAGCACGTCCACACACACTGCACACATGTTCCCATCAGCGATGGAAAAAAAAAAAAAAAGGCTCCGCATTCCTTTCAAAATCCCCACGCTGCAGATATCGGCATTTCAAAACAAGTCCCCTTTATTGCCTCACACACCGCTGCGCTGTTGACTGCCGGGCTGCAACGTGAATGAGTGTACACAGAGGAAGTGGCAACAATGTGTTGTATACGTCTTATCGGTAATCGGCATCAGCGTGTCAGACGGTAAAGCCTAATTCTGCCGGGTCTCCGGCCCACGTGGAGCTGCGAGCAGTCTGGCACCAGCCGACCGTCTGACGTACAGATAAAGAGACGAAGCATCGTGTCACAAAAGAAACACTACACATTTTCAATTGGGCGTAATCGGGCAATTGAACGTAATTGAACTCCGCAGCCTCACAACAATAAACCGTGAGTTGGCAGCCGCTGAAAATGAAACATTTCCAAAAGCAGAGATCTTTGTCAACTAAAACAAATCATGCAGTTAGGAAAAAGCGGCCAGAGGGAACTTGATGAAATGGGGAGAAACAGAGTGTATGAGGAGAGCGATGGAGAGACTTGAGAGCCAGAGAGAGAGAGAGAAGGAGGGAGGGCAGGATAAGTTTGGGGGGGAAAGTTAGTGGCCCAGTGGGGGTTTCTTTTAGAGTTCAACCTCTCTGGTTGGGGAAGGGGAGGAGAGGGGGGGCAGGGACCGGCCTGGGTCAGCAGCAGTATGGAGAATGTGTAGATTAGATGTCTAAACTCACTTCGCGAAACCCCTCTGAAGCGCTTGGAAGGCTCTTGACCCCCCAGCGCTCGGTTGCCAACAAGTGGAGAACCGGGTCGGCCGGCCTGAATTTATAGTCTCAAGAAGAAATGTCAGAGCCGGTGGAATCGGATGAGGTCCACGAAACTACAAAACCACAAATAAATAAATAAATAAATAAAAGCGTAACTAAGTGTGAGCGTATGATATTATAAGGGGATTGTGCTTCCCCTTGCAAACAACGCCAATGTAAGAAAGGACATTTGACCAACCGGGGATTGGCCGGTTTTTAGTTTCCAGGATGCTGTCTGCAAACTTGCACCGAGAAAGAGAAAAGGAGAAAAAACACACACACACACACACAGGAAACAGACGAAAGACGAGTGTGAGAAGAATGCCTGTGGATCATAAAAATGTGACTCGTGGCTCGTGATGATTCAATCAGAAATCCATCCAGATCTGAACTTTTTTCTTTTTCTGTGAAAAATGGGTGGAGGTAGAAAAAAGGACCCTTTTTTTTAACAACGCACAGTCAGCAGGAGCATACTCGATGGATAACAACTTGTCATCTAGCTTCTCTGTCCCATTGTTGCCGTAAAGCTTCCCCTTTATGACCCGACAAGTGTATGAAGAAGCACATAAAAACGACAGGTCTCGTTCTCCGTTTGATGCAACAAAAGAGCGGCTAAGTGTGTGAGCGAGTCCACGCCGGCGTGTGTGCGACCGCTTTAGTGAACCGGCTTAACAAAATAAACAAGGGGATTTCAACCCAAGGAAAATCTTTTTAGGTCAATAAACATTTTAATCAAAATCATTCAAAATAGCCCGAAACGTGAAAGCAGGATTTCTTCCTTCAGACAGGAAAAAGAGTGTGAGACAGACGAGGGGGGGTGGGGGGGGGGCAGTGTGTGTTTATGGAGAGTGTAGCCAGCAGCACAGATTGACAGGAAATGTTGTCTTTTTTGCCTGCTGGGCTGTACCACTTGTATTGGCCTGACAGGGGGGGGGGGGGGGGGGGGACATACAGACTAAAGTCATTCTATTATCGTATATCTTGTATCAAGCTGTTTGCTTTAGCCGGAGTCCATCCATCTGCTGATGAACAGTCAGGACCAGTGACAGGCTTTTTTTTTTTTATTGACCGCCTATTGATCTCCCTGTGATTTACTGCCACGGCGAGGGCACTGCTGCGTTTTCAATTGAATTATTTTGTCAATAACACAGCCCTGGTTTTTAGGAAATCTAAACGTGAGAGGCCGGGTTCTGCGGCTCCTTTTGGCACGTTCCAGAGTGGAATATTAGAATTCACATCTGCATCCTTGCATGGGAGATGAATCACCCCAAAAAGGGGTCAAGAGGAACCTGTGAGAAGTGTGTCGCGCACATGGCGTGTTTGTGTACGGGGGGTGTATTTGTCTGGGTGAACGCACTGGAGGGATTGAGCAAGGCAGCTCTCGTTCATCACTGTTAAAGAACCTTTCGGTAGGGAGAGACCGAAAGATCTGCCAAAAAAGCGGACAGGGAGGGAGGGGTTTACCCTGGCATCTGGTTTCTGGGTTCAACCACAGCACAATGTTCTTCCTGGCTCTCGTTCTCTCACACACACACACACACACACACACACACACACACACACACACACACACACACACACGGCCAGTGGCTGGACTTTAATATGGTTATGATTAGAGACGGGGGGGGGGGGGGGGGGGGGGGGGGGCTCAGAGGAGGAAGGGGGGTCATATTCACTGCAGGGGAATTGGGGGAGGTGCGATGGAAGAAACGGGGACCAGATCTGAATGGGACCACGAGGGGAGAGAGAGAGAGTGGGGGGAGGGGGGGGGGGTTGTTTGCGTTCTAGGATGAAATATTAAAAACAAAAGCAATAGAAGAATGGAATGGAGTTTTGTCTCCTCACCAGATCAGTTCTTCTTCGAGTGGCGGCCGGCCCCCTCTCTCCCTCCCCCTCGCCCCGTTCCCCTCTCTCTCTCTCTCTCTCTCTCTCTCTCTCTCTCTCTCTCTCTCTCTCTCTCCACCCCCTCTCAGAGCGTCATGCCGCAGCAGTTGGTTCGCTCCGCCGTGTCTGGTGCTCAGCCAGAGCTGCGAGAGGCTGTTATTTAGGTCCGTTACAGCAGACAGAGAGCAGCTCACCCAAGGGCAAGTGGGGGGGAGAGAGAGCGCGAGACAGAGAGCGCGAGACAGAGAGAGCGAGAGAGAGAGAGAGTCACGCTCAGCCGGGCAGGAACCAGATCTGCATTCCAGCTGAGAGGGAACGAGGGGGAAAAACTCCAGCATCGGCAGGAAGAGAAGGAGAGTGACAGCGGACAGCGAGAGCGACGCGAAGGCGGCGGATCCGCGCGGCGCTCGAGTCCCGCTGTTGTTGTTGTCGTCGTCACCGGGTCGGCGTGACGCGCGCGGCGGGAGCGGAGCGGGACGTCGAGGGGCTCGGAGGGATTCTTGTTCAGGGCGGAGGAGAGCGAGAGAGCGAGAGCGGAGGGGGGCTGAGGGGGTGGGGTTAGGGTTCCCGGTGCCATGTTCGACTGCATGGAGGCTCTGGGAATGGGCCCCCGTCAGCTCTATGATGTCACCGGCCGGGGCGCGTGCATGCTGCGCAAGGCGAGCCCCTTCTTCGCGGGGCTCGACCCCTTCGCCTGGACGGGCAGTGCCAGCGTTCAGTGTAAGTGGCGTCCCGTCTGGGATTCTCTCGAATGACACAATGTTTGTTCCTCTCTGTCTGTCTCTCTCTCTCTCTCTCTGTCTCTCTCTCTCTCGACCATTGTTAGGGGCCTCTGAGCAGCACAGGAAAGGACAGGGACAATCAGTCTCCTCTCCTGTCCCGTCCCGTCCCCCTCCCTCCCACACACAGGCGCTTTGAGCTGCTCAGCCATGTGAAAGAAAGTCCGTGATATGATGATATGATATGATATGATATGCACAGTGTGTGTTTGTGTACTACAGTGACGATGTGTAGCCACCTGAGGTTTGACCTTGCCAGGTGTTTACTAAAAACAAACGTGCGTGGTGTGCACAGGTGAATACATGAATTACTACAGGAAGAGGAAAAGACGACTTTCTCGCTTGTTGGCGGTTTTGACAATTCAAGTTTAGTTTCTGATTTATTTCTTATTAACAAATGGCAGAATGTTACAGAAAAGTTGTGTGTAGCCTGCTGCCGTCCTCACAAGCCAGAGGTTTGTTTATGCTTCTGGATAATGATATTCCTCCGGAGATATGAATTAATAAGAAGTTGAATTATTTAGTGGATGAATTAGAAATGTAGAATACATGCACAATATATTCTGGCCAGCTTCCTCTTTTCTCTCATTTCTCTCTTTTATTCTGCCTTCTGCCTCCAAAGTCAAGGCTGTGACTTCCAACAACATGCCTGTCTCTGTGAAGACAAAACTGGGGTCCGTTTTCATACACTTCACCAGGGGGGCCGCTACTGCTGCGAGAGTGAGAAAGAAGTGTGGGGGGGTGCTTAGTATGCTGGGAGAAGTGTGGAGGGAGACAAGCCAGATATGACAGTGGGAAAACCAAAAAAAATTATCAAGAATACGAGAAGAGAGAGAGAGAGAGATACACGGCTCAACTGGGCATTTTGATATTGGTTTGGATTGTTTTTATTATTTATTGTTTCTGTTTGTTCATCCTCTTTTTGTCCCTTCTGACTGCCTCTCTGAGGGGGGGGGGGGACACTCATCAGTCTTCATTAATCGTGAAGACACCAGTGTTTCAGTGGCTGTCATGCACACTGGCTGAGCTTTAATGAAGACAGATGCTCTGTCAGGAAGGCCGAGGCCAGGGGGGCAGGAGGGGGCGGGGGGGCTCCAGCCAGCCCAGCTTGCTCTGCTTAGCTAGGGGAACCCTGATGATAACAAGATGAGATTTGTTTATTTAATCCCCAATCAGCCTTCATTGGCCTCTCCATTTAGCCCATTCACACACACACGCATACGTTTTGACAATTAGGCCTCCCGGATTCCAGAAGAACAATTTTTCTTTTTGCTTCCTTGTTCCAGAAAATCAAAGAGATACTATGTTTTTTTTCTTTTCAAAGTCCAGAGAAGCTGCCCCCGGGGCAAAGGAGCTGAGTCTGGCAGAGCACAGCAAAGCGGATGCCGGAGTGGTGTACTGTTTCAAGCCCTCTGTGCCCAACAAAACCTCTGTAAACAGCCCGATCCCCGCACAAGGAGCCATAATGCCTCTCTTTGCTGAAGCAGTTGCCCCTCATTGTCCTCATCAATGAGGCTGATGAATTGATGTTTGTGTCTGATATCTCATTAAGCCAGCCCAGCTGCACAACAGAGGGACCTGTCTGGCTCCTCGTGCCACGCGCACACACACACACACACACACACTCCGCTCTCCAAAATGTCCACAGGGTTCGTCACCAGAGACACCTGGCCCTGGGCGTGATACTCGCTAATAACCTATTACCGGGGTCCAACGCTGTTATTTCCTTATGTGCTTGTCAGGTTTCAGCCGGTAGAAAATGGTCGGCGGTTCTTTTGATCATCTGCGGAAAAGGCAAGAGGGGGGGGAAAAAAAAAGTGGCCCGGCCTAAATCTAAACGTCGTATTGTCCCGCCGCTAAATGTCCGGCGGCGATAAGTGTCAACGCCGTTTGGCCATTAGCCCAGGACAGTTAGAGGACTTGGAAGTGTGTGGTCAGTTTTCCTGTTTTCTGAACAGTGGGAGCCCTCAGGGTCAGAGGTTAGTGAGAGGCCACTGGGCCGGCCGATGCCAGATCCGCACCATGTGTGGCGGCCTTGTCAGCCTGCTGAAAAGGAGACCCTTTCAACCAGCTCGGCTGGTGTAATGCTCTTAAGTGCCTTTATACCACAGGGCTGGCACTACATCTGAGCCGCCTCGCGCGTAAGCATAATGGACACTGATTTAGTCGTACATCAATGAGAACTGAATTAGTCAACTGCCAGGGAAGCCATTTCAGAGATGCTATGCAGACCGATTCCCTCTCCGTCGATGTTAATTTGCTTAGAAGAATGAGGCAATTACGCTTCTCCAGGGTCAGATGAAGGGGAAGTGTGCTTTTCTCACCAAAACACACTTGCAGCTTTATTTATTTTTTTAAGTTTAGGTATTAATTGTGATGCTCCCAAGTGATACATTCAAGAGAGGGACATGGCGGTGACAGATAGGTAGACAGATCCAATCACCTTGTGTGCCATCGTTTACCCCCCCCCCCCCTTTGTTTTACATTAATGTGCTGTTCAAATGTGAATTGAGGCACTAATTGAAAGGAGGGTATATCTCAGCAGCAATGGCAGAAAAATAAGAGCTTCCCGTGACCGCTGGCACATTCTGGCCCCCGATCATTTTCTCCCTGATGGCAGTCCGCAGTTATTTCATTATAATTACAAAAGATTCAATTAAAAGATTAGAATGCCTGAGGGGGCAGGACTGGGAATAGATAGTGGTGTCCTGGGTAAGGGGGTGTGTATGACAGAGAAGGAAGGAGACAGAGTGCATGGTTGCTGTTCTAATGAGGACTTGTCAATGCGGTTCTTTATACATAAACCTCGCTGATCCTTTCAAGATAATGTCAAACGAATGTGCTGAAGTTAAAAGGCTTAAGTAGTCAGCTGGTCCAAGGTCACTGAGTCAAAATTGATATGACCGACGAAACACCTTCACTTGTCCGTGAAAAAAAACAATTATAACAATGTGATCAAATGAGTTTGTTTGAAAGGGGGGTTCAACAAGGAATGGACAAAGATCTCGACACCTGAGAGGAACCTTTTTTCTTTTCTGCAATTCCAGACTGTAATTGAGAAAGCACAACGTTTCCGTCCAGTGAGTGGACAGACAGCCCTTCTTTTGCTACGCGGGGGCAATGTATACATAAGTTGACTCAATCTGAAACTACAATATAAAATACAATTTAAACTGATTCCAACCTCATAATACTTGTACGATCTTTACTGTATCATACTACATTTTCAAAGCAGGGAGCCACTTTCAGGATAAGGACAGTGTGTCTCAGCCAAGGCCATTAATAGGCAGTGCTGCCTATAAATAAACCGTTTCAATCCCTGCAGTTGCTTAAAAATATTTTCCACAAGCCCCCATTTAGTGTGTTTGTTTTGCTTCTGCATAAACATGAGCCCGTCAACCTGTGGCTGCCTGCATAGCGTCTATGTGTGAACTCCTACATGTCGATGCATGCGGTGTTTACGTGCCTGCTTGGCTGGCGTTGGGCACCCAGACTGCTGTGTCGAATCCAGAGACAGACAATGTGCCGGGCTGGATTCCACAGGCCAGTGTTGGAATCCGGCTCCGCTCTAATGGCAGTTTATTGCCCCTCTGCAGCGTCGGTCACACCACTGTAAATAAAACCCCTCCGACCACAGCGCCATGGCTCAATCTGTCACAACGGACGTTCTGTCCATCTTTCTTTTTTTTTTTCTAAAAACTGTTTCGCAAGAAACATTCTGAGGAATCTTGTTCCGGCTGTTATGAGGCAACTGGGCCAACAGTTTGCCCTCTCTATCGGCAGAGTATATCATCTGAACTTTCGTAAGTTCTTTCACAATAGTTAGCTGCCCATCTGTGTCTGCAACTATTGTGGCTGTCGACTGAAAACAGCCCACCGTGTACGGGCGGGCAACTGGCAGGGAGTGTACATGTGTGTGTGCGTGCAGCGTGGCCTTTTCATGCACTCTCGTTCCACTCATGCGTGCACCTGTGAGAGTTTATTTCACAGTTTATAGCTCATACAGCAGTGTGTGTGTGTGTGTGTGTGTGTGTGTGTCTGTGTGTGTGTGTAAGCCAGCACGGGGGCCATGTGTGAGCCCAGTGCGAAGATAGCAGTTCTGTTACCATCATGTTATTGACTGACGGCTTGGCTCCAGCGTTGCTAGGGGCTCACTGGTATGAGGAGCGGAGGGCTCGGACAGCCTCGCCGCGACTAGAAACCCTCCGTGTGTGTGTGTTTGTGTGAGAATGGGTTGTGTTTACGCAGCCGACAGTGTTTGGCAGGGAGTGGTGGGCCGCCGCTGCAGTACAGTCATAATCTGGGCTCAGGGGTGGAGAGTGATGGAAGAGAAGTTGGCCGGCGGGAAGGAGGCCCGCTGGTGTTGTGTTCACTTGGACATAATTCAAATCTTGCCAATGTGTGTCTGTGCAACTGTCACGGGCCTCTTGTCTGGAAACGGTGCATGGGTTAATATGTATAATCTCGTATTAGTGGATTTGTTTGTGTGTAAGTGTGTGAGATCTGAGGGGGAACAGGTGTGTAAGCTCACATGCCTGTGATTGTGTGCTAAGCTGACCGTTTGGGAGCTTTTCTTCTGTGTGAAAACATGAACGTAAATAAGTTAACAGATGTCACTGTGTGCATGTGTGTGTTTCTGTGATTCAAGTGCACATGAATCTGGGTCATTGGCAGAAATCAGGTCACGGCAGGAAACCTAACATACAGCTAGTCAGTGGTCAGGTGTCGTTTCAAGTTACTGTAATATCTTTGAACACAGACTCTACACTTATTGAAGCTGACGAAGCTTTTCTAGTTTTTGTTGTAGTCGGACTTTGGATGTAGTCATTTTGAATATAATGTACAAAAACAACCCTTCATCCCAGACCATTAGAATCACAGCAACGGGTTCCTTTACGTGCCCACATGTAAGGGAAGATCAACAATTACTGAATTCTATGT